GCTTCTTGATCCCATTGCAATGGCGCATTTGGAGTTTGATGCCCGTGAATTCCGGCACAGAGCCTCCAATACCAGCAAGGTGCAAGGAGTGGGAGGAGGAACCGGGAAGCGCAGAGAGCTCTTTCGTTGCTCGCCTTGCTGGTTGGAGGGTTTGCAAGAGGTCAAAGGCAGTGTGGGCAAGGGCAAGAAGAAAACAACAACAACACTCGTCAACACCGCCGTGCAAGCGACAGGAAGTGGGGTACACTCGGCGGCGAAAGTCGGTGCACGACAGCTTGCACAAGCAAACCTGCATGAGACGCAAGCGCTTTCACGAAGTCAGAGAAGTCAGTGCAAAACTTGCCAAATCCCACTGTGACGCAGTATGTCAAGATGTCCGTTTTTAGGCACTAATTTGGACGTACGATGTGTAAATCCCACTGTGACGCAGTATGTGAAGATGCCCGTGTTTAAGCACTAATTTGCCAATGGGACGCAATAGGATGTGCAGCTGGGAAAAGTATCCAGTGGGAGCACCGGAAGCAACAAATCCAAATGGGACGCCGCATGGCATGTATACTTTCCAACAGTATGGGACGGAATTGGACGCAACACTTCAAGATTTCATGTTTTTAGTTTTGAGCATTGCTTTAGATCCCCTAGACACAAAAACCCATGGGAGGCACTACTCACCCCACCGCTTGGCACACCGCTCACCCCACAACCGCCGGGTCTCACCCCACAAGCGAACCAGCATGGCACACCACATCAAAAGTGCGTGTTTATGTCGCGACTGCCTTGTCCGGCTAGTTCGTGCCTATGCGTTTTCACATTAGCTTCTACTTGTCTGAGCTAGGTCACGAGCGTAAAAATTGTTCATAGTGTCCACAAACGCATGGCACACCACCATTCACCAACATGCGCTGCAATGTTGCAAATTTCTTTGTTCATAGCCACCCCTATGCGTTCGCTGGCGCCAAGAGGTTGTAAACATGTTTTTTCAAGCATGTTGCCAAGTAGTGCGCGAGTGGCTTTTTGACGAGTGCGCAAGTAGAGTGTGCGAGTAGGGCGTGCGAGTGTGCGAGTGGACTGTGCGAGTGTGCGAGTGGAACGGGCGAGCGACATCTATGCCTGTAACTTCCATCAAATCAATCCCTACTGGCACACAGCTGCGCAACACAGGGAACCCAACTCTAGGTGTTGAGTTGACTTAGCCTTCTCAATGTCTTGGCCAGAGGCAGTGTGCCATTGCGTGTGACGGGAATGGCCCTTAACACCCAACAGCGCCGCTTCGCCACACACCCCTCAAAGAATCCGGTCCTATTGCACAACGCAAATGGCACAAACTCATGCCTCGCGGCTCAAGTTTCCTGAAGACCCCGCCCAGACCCCTCCTGCAGTTCTTTCACCTTGTGAAGTTGCTACCAGCACCATCACCACCACCACCACCACAACCGCACCATCACGGGGCTGCACAGTAAAGCCGGCACAATCTTGTTCCAAACACTCCTTCTCAAGTGCATCTTCGAGCTCAACGCGCAGCCTCTTCTTGATTGGCGTCGCCGTTGCAGGTGGCTGAGCTCGCGCGCCTCTTGAACCCCAATCTCACGGGCGCAGCGATGAGTTACGCGTGTGTCCCAGGAGGGCAGCCACAAACAAAACCCGTTCCGGAACCCAAAACGCAACGACTCCCACAGATGGGCGTAACGCCACGCTCAAAACCAGCACTCTCCAAAAACACTGCCTCCAGTCCGCGTGCAAAGTTCGCTCAAATCCCAATGGTATGGCAACAGGAAGTCTGCTCACACAAAATCCTGCCGCATGGAATTCGAGTTCAACGGTAACCATACATACGTAAACCCCCACCAGGACGCAAGCCGCACCGACTTCCTCAATCAATACCCTGCATGGCACACAAAGTTGGACGCAAACGCACCGACTTTCACCGGAGAGAGTAGGTGACGGGATCGACAATCTGAATGCAAGCATGTGTTTGGAAGAATGCATCGTGTGGCCAGTCAAGCACCCGCCTGGCAACCGTCTCAGCCGTTTGGCTATGCCAGCCCGCCTCGTTCAAGTGCTGCCGCCGCTGCCGCAGCCATTGTGCAGAAGCCCCCGCGCGCCAGTGACGTAGGCACGGCCCAAGGCGCATGGCGAGGGCATATGCCCAGGAGCATCTTTTGGCTCCGCGCCCCGTTCTCCAGCACAACGGCTTCGGAACAAGCATAGGGCCCACCAACGTCGATCTGAAAATCGTCACGTCGCCCGGTCCTCCTGGTGTCGCTGGCCTTCTCCTCTTTGGCCGCCTCCGCCGCCTGAAATTCGAATCGAATCGCTTGCGACCGTCGCAGCGGAGGCAGCTAATCACGAAGTCCTTGCCCCTTACTCCCCTTGCTCCATGCTGAGTCTGTCACAAGAACTTCTTCGCCTCAGGTGCGTGGCGCACAAACTTTCACGCCTCCAGCCGCGATTGTTTGAGGCCAGGCCAACGGCACACGGAAACTGGGGAGACTTCACGGTCCGAAAAAATGCTGATGCGAAACACGTCAAAATGTGCAATGCCTAACGGTACCAGGCAGTGGGACACATGGGTCTGTCTTTTTACGAGGGTATTTCTTGAATAAAGGACAACTCGCCACCTTGCCGGGTCCCAATCCTGCAAACAAGACCAGCCCCCCACATGGCGACCTTGGGTGGTGCGCGGCACAGCAGCAGCTGCCGTCGCCGGGCGAAGGGCTCTAAACCCATGGCCTCAGCGGAGCTACGGGTGGACCATCCGCTTGCAGGGAACCCAAAACATTCGGATTCGGATAGATTCGGATTCGCCGAACTGCAGGATTTCGTACGTGGTGCGGGTACAGCAGTTTGCCACTCATTTTTTCTGCTTAGATTCGACGCACTCGCCACTTTCAAGCTGTTTCGGGCCAAATCTGAGTTTGAAGCAACCAGCTCAGCCTGACGCTCACAAGCCCATGACCACGGCTCGCACAAAAAACGAGCCTCGTCTAAGCTTCGGAGTACCTTTCCGGTAACTTCCTGCTCACGAAGCCACGTTGCTACCTGGCAGCTACCACATGCACGTCATGCCAGGGGCGTTGAGGCGAAGTTAGAATGATTGTGCGCTGAATGCACTCAAGATCTCCAAAGAGAAATCTGCAGGCCACGTGACAAATCAGCATTCCAAATTCCCTTCAGCAGCATGAAGGCAAAAGGAAGAACGGCCGTGTCCAAAGCGCAAGGATGCTTCTACTACAGCTTCACATTGCAACCTGGGAACCTGACACAAACTGAACCAAAATTACATCAACTTGTCTAGACATAAACTCGAAACGATAAACAAGACCAGTGTGTAATTCCGGGTGTCAAAGAAAATCCATGGATTGAGGTGCTTCTTCTCATGTGCTGCGCCTGGCTCCGATGATTTTCTTTCTCGCAGCTATGTGTTTGGGATTGGAGCTGTCGGTAACGAACTTGACCATTCACAATCTCCCTCGAATACGCGGCAGAACCGGGATTGCTGGATACTCTCAGCTCAGGTCCCTCATGTTGCAGCTGCATTTGCAGAATTGCGGAAATGGTATGTCAATCCCATTGCTTGCAGCTTTGCAAAACGAGACTGCTGAGCATCACTCGCTCCAGCTAGCCAGCATGCCGATTCTTCGGCGAAGACTTGCCACGTGGTTTGCTTTCTGGCAGTAAGTTTGTGTTCTGCATTTCTTCGACCACCTGGCTGCATGACACGAGGTTGTGTGCAACGCGACGCATCTCTTGCGTCCTGAATTCGACGCGTGTGCAAACTACCAATCCTCCCCTTTGAGTCGGAAGCCCTTGCTCCGCAGCATCTCTGGGAACTGATTGTAGCCTTGGCTCGCCATCGCGTCGCGAAGGGATTGCGCGAATGCGCCATCGGTCGCTGTGCTGCCCAAGGGCTGTAGTGGGTGAGGTCGATTCTTTCCTGCGCACAAAGCTGGAGGAAAAAAACCGCTCTTGCCACCTTCTCTCAAACAAGCGTGGATATGGGTGGCTCGTTCGGAGTCCTTCTCCTGGCCATTTGCATCGAGCACAACGAGGTCGGGATTGTGGCCCTGAACCCACTGCACCTGCTGCATTTGCGGCTCTGGCTGCGAGGCTGTCGCCACTTGCTGCCGAGCAACGTCCAAATTTTGCCATTCATCCCAGCGCTCTTCATCCCTCAGCCACCGTCGGACGTCAGCGAAGTGATTCAACCTGCGGTCGGGTAGGTCACTTGGGCTTGTCTGTTTTTGGAGGGTGCCCCCTTTTTGGTATTTGTGGCTTTAAAAGGAAACCAACATCCCCAAGAAGCGCCGGACCCGCTCGACTCTCGAAGGGGTGTCCGCAGCTCACGTGCATCGAGGGACGCTTGGCATAGCCTGAGATATCTGAGATGCTGACTTTCAGCCTTGGCAGGAGATGATGTTTCCCCGCGCTGCAGGCTTCATGAGGCCTGAGACTTGGCCATGCGCTCTTCCGCGGCGTTGACAGGAGAATCCGAGGGGCTGTTCACATCCACTACGTTGCAACTTCGATCCTGTCAGGCAACCCGATGCTAAAATTGAATGAAACTGAACCTGCGGCGTCTTCCTTAATGCGAAGTCCTCGCAGCCGTTGGCATCGCAGGACTGCGCCCCGCAGCCCTTGCCCAGGGCACCGTGCCTTAGGACATTTGTCGGTTGAACAGAGGGCGTGCACTCAAATGAACGTGCCGGCTCGCAAAGCAAAACATTGGAAAAAGAGAAAGCAATCAACAAAAACTAGATGAACACGCACTTGCAAATCTGAACCAGCTTAGACTTGCTTGACTGGGGGCACTGCAAGACACATTTGACTGCTGTGATTTGCTCAACGGAGACAAACACGAAAGTGACGCGCAGTGTCTAGCACTCACCGCCAGCACATTCAAGAGGCCGAACAAAGCAGCGCCCTCAACAATCGCTCTCTCCAATCATCCTGGTGCACACGACATCGCTGGAGAGAGGGAAGGGCCCTTTGTGGATCGTGCGCATAAGATCCTGTTCGAGGGGTCAAATGGTCGCTTTGATGCTCAAACGCGTACTCATCGCAGGGAGTCAGCCATGTGATGCGCAGGCAGAACCAAGCCTGGGGCCTCTTGCAAGGGCACCCCGCTCCCGGCAAAGGGTAGGAAGAACCACAAATTGTTCACGCAGAGGGTTCGTTCATGGTCAAAATGACGTGCAAAAAGCTGAGGGTTTTTCAACCCGACACGCACGACCCCCGCAGACGGTCCATCCACGGTCAGTATATGGAACAAAACACAAACATGTTTTTCGACTCTGACACTCATCTAGGATCAAGATAAACGCCAAAAAACACAAGTTTCTCGAGCCTGACTTGCACGATGCCCGCAGACGGTTTATCTTTGGTCAAGATTACGTACAAACACGCATATTTTGCGACTCTGACACGCGTGACTCATGCACAGAGCTCATCTAAACGCAACAAAACCACAAGTTTTTCGAGCCTGGCACGCACAATCCCCACATCCATGGTCAAGGAGCAGTACAAAAACAAACATGCTTTTCGACTCTGGCGCTTGCGCTTACAGAGGGCTCATCCAGGATCAAGACCGACGCGGAAAACACAAGTTTTTCGACCCCAACACGCAATCACAACCCCCACAGCAGCTCATCCATGGTCAAGGCTCAGTACAAAAACAAACATGTCTGTAGACTCTTAAGCCGCGACACACACACACACACAAGTTGTTCGACCCTGACACTCACAACGGTTCATCCATGGTCATGATGACGTACACAACGCACATGTTTTTGAACTTTAGCACGTCCAGGCTCATCTAGGATCAAGATAAACGCGAAAGAAAAACAGTTCATCCAAATTCAGGATAAAGTTCAACATCACGCATATGGGTCTGTGTCAAGTTGGGGTGGAGTGGAGTTGGGGTGCTGCTGGGGGAGTGTGGGGTGGAGTTGAGGTGGAGACTTTAGAGTTGGGGTGGATTTGATTGGGCTAGACAAGTGGCAAGTTTGGGGCCTAGGGCTTGCAAACATTGAGCAGCCAAATTAGTGAGATGAGCGGGAGAGGAATGGAGATGCGTGGGGTTGGGGTGAGGTGGTGGTGGAGTTGGAGGTGTTGAGGCGGGGTGGAGTGGAAGGGGGGTGGACTTGCAAGGTGGGGTCTGATGAGAGGTGAGCGGGGTGTTGGTGGGTTGGGTGTTGGAATGGATTTGGCTTGGGGGTGTTGAGTTGGGGAGGGGTGGGGAGGGGTTGGTGGGCTTAGGGTGGGTTGTAAGTGCAAGAGCTGGCGGAACAAGGTGGGGTTCCAACGGCGGTCCTCCGGGCGACACTGCGACAGTGACACTCGTTTCGCAAGAGGCAGACAATGGTGTGAAAGTAGGCAAGCTGGAACCGAAGAAGCCGCAAAGGTGCGCGCAAGGGAAAGGGCCACCAACCAGCCACAAGGCAAAAAGGCAAACATAAAGTCATCCCGCGCTTTGCAATTTTACCTTAAAAGGGAAGTTCAAAGCCCACTACCCACGCCGAAGCGTACATGTTTTTGACCCCGACACGCACGATCCATGCAGAGGGTTGTGTTTTCATGGCTCGCATGTGATTCATTCACGGTACTGAGACTGTTGAGGCAGTGATATTGAGCGGCTGCTTTTAGAAGAAGGACCCATCACATTGCTTCTGAGAACCATGGCCAATGAATTTGAGACATCAACGAAGCAAGCTGAGCGCGCCGCATACAAGCCATGGCTGCAAAGGCCAGCAGAACCTGTCCATGCCATGGCCAAACTTGGTGCTTGGATGGCTTCAGAGCACCTTCACCATGGTTCTGCTGCGCCTGACGGCGGGCCCGAGGTGCGACTCAGCTCGAATGCGAACGGATGGCCTGCTAGACGACGGACCAGCTTCAACCCACAAGCTCTTGAGCCAAGCGGCAGCGGAGCTGAGAAACTGACCAAAACTGCCACAGGCTGCCACTCACAATCCCAGAATGGCCACTTCCAATCGACCTAAGTGTAGTATATAGCTTGAACAAAGGTTCTTGGATTGAACTCATATGTGAGGGCTTTGCCAAACAGCTGGGGTGGATTGCGTTACATTTGTTCTGCTTGGCAAATGGCGCAGGGCAATTTACGCAAATATGGACAAAACAATGGCCTGGGAAGCCTGGGGCTAGAACGCAAGTCCATGCAAAGTTTGCCAGGCCCACTTCTGGAGACAGCGTCGTGGTCAGCGACCAAGCGATCACCTCCTCCACCGTCCAAGTGCCAAGCCTGGACCAAAAAAGCCGCGCCGTCCGTGCAAAACGGCCCAGCCCCTCCCAGCGCCTCTGCACGCCCAACTTCCTTGGAACAAAAGGTTGCGTATGCCATATTGTAGGCAAGCAATGAAGCTGCAATAAGTGTGCACTTGCGTGAGTATATACGTGTGTGTTTGTGTGTGTGTGTTTGCGTGTTGGTGCGTTTGCTTATTAATTTCTTTGTTTGTTTGTTCGTTGGTTGGTTTGTGTGCTTGTGTGCTTGTGTTTGTTTGTTTGTGTGTTTCTTTGTTTGTCTGTTTGTTTGCTTGCTTGTTGCTTGCTTGCCTGCCTGCCTGCCTGCGTGCTTGCTTGCTTGCTTGTTGTTGTTTTTTGCTTGTCTATGTTTCTGTGCTCCTTTTTTGCTTGATTGTTTAATTGTTTGTTTGCTTGCTTGCTTGTTTGTCTGCGTGCGCGTTTGTATGTTTGCTTGTTTGGCCTGTTTGTATGTTTGATTCATTGTTTGTCTGTCTGTTTGTGCGGTTTTATGTTTGTGCGTGCGTGTTTGTGTGTGTGTGTGTTTGTTTGATTTTTGTTTGCCAAATTGCTTGATTGATTAATTCCGTGTGTTGTGTGTGTGTGCGTCTGTGTGTGTGTGTCTGTGTTTGCATGTGAGCGGTGATCAAAATCAATAGGCCAAATTGCGATGATATCATTTGGCGCTTCCGCGTGCTTCCGCGCGCTTCCGCGCTGCGGGTGTTTGCTTCCGCGCTCTCATTTCCCTTCCGCGCCTTCCGCGGCTTGCGTCTCTTTCTTGCCAAGCCAACACAACTAGATCCACGAGAAGATGAGGCCCATGGCTTTGGATTTGGCGGCATAGCTGGTGATACTAAAGGCTTGGACGCTAGAAACAGGTAAGTGAAACAGCCATGCTGGGGAAGCCCTGAAGAGATTGCGAGCCTGTGCTTGAGACATCCTTGCGCAACGTGGAGCCACCCAGTTTCTGTTACGAGCAGTAGACGGCTGTAGCAAATGGTTTATGGGTCCCATAGTCAGAACGACAAGCCCTGAAACGCGAATCCCAATAGATTTGCAACGCAAACGTGAAGCCTCACGGCACACCGCGGCTACGATTCGCGTACAGGGCCAACGAGAACAACACATCGCACACAAGTCATCCAAATCACGGAACCCTTCCGCGGTCTTTCCGCGCCCTTCCTCCAGTGTTCCGCGAATTCAGCCCAACATCAATCTCCACGCATTTAAGGCCCGGGGTTCAAAAACGATTTTTGTTTAGCCTGAACAACTCGTTTTTTAACCCGGGAGCAAAACGATTTGTTTGGCCCGAACAAGTCGTTTTTGTCGGCTGTTTCGCTTCAGTTGAAAAGTAAATGTCGGTCCAGCCGGCATTTTCCAAGAGGCTTGCGTGGTGACTTGGTAAAGCGCGCAGAGCCACCCCCCGCGGCACATAACAAATCCGGTTCCGTGGGCGCGGTGTCGCCCCCTTCCGCGCGAGTCATTTTGGAACTCGATTTTGGCTACCCAACACAGGAGTCTGCCTTGGCGTGCTCCGAAGGGCGTCACAGGGCATGGCCCACGGAGCTCGGCCGTGGTGCCGATGAAGAACCCACGCACAAGCTCCTCCACCCAGTGCAACATGCTCAAGCTTTCCAGCGCCCCGCCCTGCAGCACTGGGGACCCACATTGACGCAGCCCACGGAGCTGGGGTCACATAGGCCCCAGGAGCGTAAGTGATGAAGAAATCTATGAAGAAACTGGGTGCCCCCATTTGCCGGAACACATCGGCAGTTTTCAGCCTGTGGAGTTCCATGTGGAGAGGCAGCTGGGGCAAGTCTGCCAGTGCCCAGCGAAGTTGTAGCTGGGGCGCTGCGCGAGACCGACCCATGAAACGGCTCAGCATGGCACGGTCATATTGAAAGGCTACAAGCACCAGGTCGTGCTGATAATCCAGCACTCCGGAATAGCACTTGTACACAAAGGCTCTCTTGGCGGATGCGTGGTGTGTGCGGAGAGCATCCATGCTCTCGCACAGCTCCTCCGTGTGATACAAGACTGGCCAGATGAGGCTTTCGATGCCGCGCTCAAGCACTGCCCAAGGGCCAAGGTTACCGCTGCCCCTATTGCCACGCAAATACCGCGCATGCCGACGGCAACCGTCTGCATAAATGGCATTGCTCTGCAACAAGTGCTCGTGCGCTGCTCGCGCCAAGGCTTGCACGGAGGCAGGCAGATTCAACATTCGAGCTTGCACCGACGTGCGCTCCCAGAAAGGCGCGCATGGCTCAACGTGCCGACGCAGTTTTTGTGGGTGTGCGGCACTGATACAGCTGGTGCGGACGCGTATCACCCGCAGGGCTGCCTGAACTGCGGCTGGCAGTCGCCACAGCGTTGCCGGCCAGTGGTCCAGCATCGGCAAAGTGTACCCGCTCTAGCAAGCGGCGCAGCTGTCCAGCAAGATGCATTGCCGCATGCTATAGTCTGCCGCTTGCATCCGTCGAGGGACCAGAGATCTGCACCGCCAACATAAAGCGAATAAGCCGTACCGGGTGTACTCGTACAGCCGGAAGCCAATTACACCAGAGAGGGAAGCACAGCGTTGCAAAGCACGCTGCCGCTCCAAGTCCCGTGTTTCACATTCGCCTTCGCCTGACCTTGGGGCATGTTCCTGAACGAAGCCCCGCCACTGCATCACCGACTCCCATTTTGGCGGCAGGTCTGCCACGCTCAGCGGCAGCTACAACCAAGGCAGCTTGAGATTTGACGTGTGTCTCTGTTCTTTCATGTCCATGCAGTGTCTCCACCTCAGCATCAATCTACTCTTGAGCCCATGCACACAAGTCCGTGGTTCACACAGCGCAACATGTTGCCAATCACCCTAGCCATCTCCGAACCCCGACACTTTTTGCCGCTTGCGAACACATGTCTGCGCCAACACAGCTCCAAAGAGCTGCGCGCTTTCAAAGAAAACTGGTCAGGTTGGCCCTGACCAAGACTCCGCTCTCGGATCCGATCTCACTCCTCCTCAGCAGCATCACCCTGCCCGAGCCTCTGCAAATTCACCTTGCGCCCGCCTCCTCCCAGAAGCGGCTTCTTGGCCGCCCGAGTGCAAAAAGCTGCCGCGAAATATTCCGTGGCCGCCTTGCGGGAGGCTTTCACGGCGCCAGCCGTCCTCCACACCTTCAGCGCGGCGGCCTCAGGCTGCACCCCGGGCCACAAAACGATTTGCACTGCCCGAACAAATTGTTTCTTGTACACGCTTTTGACGCTCCTTTACTGTTCCCCTTCCGCGCCCTTCCGCTGCGCAAGTTTCGTAGTCAAGTCTGCCGGCCCTTCCGCAAGCTTCCGCGGCCTGCGGAAAACCTTCCGCGCGGATTGATTTCAGCGCTCCCTTACTTACATTGCTTTGAGCATTTGTGATCGCTGCTCATGTGTGTGTGTGGTGTTTGTGTGGTTGCGTGTCTGTGTGTTTGTGTGCTTGTGTCTGCGTGTTTGTGTTCGTGTGCTTGTTTGCGTGTGTTTATGTGTTTGTGTTGTTGTGTGTCTGTGTGTACATTTGTTTGCTTGTGTGTGTGTGTTTGCGTGTTTGTGTGTTTTTGTGTTTGTGTGTGTGTTTGCGTGTTTGCGTGTTTGTGTGTTTCTGTCTTTTTGGCGTGTGTGTGTGTGCATGTGTTTGCTTGTTTGTGTGTGTGCTGGTGTTTTGGTGTTTTGGTGTGCTTGTGTGTTTGTGTTGTTGTGTGTCTGTGTGCATTGGCTTGCTTGTGCGTGTTTGGGAGTTTACGTGTTTGTGTGGGTGTTTGTGCGCGTGCATTTGTCCGTGTGTGTGTGTGTTTGCGTGTTTGCGTGCTTCTGTCTTTTTGGTGCGTGTGTGTGCGCATGTTTTTCGTGTTTCTATGTGTGCGTTGGTGTTTTGGTGTGCTTGTGTGTTTGTGCGTGATTTTGCATTGTTTGTTTCAGAACTTGTGTGTTGCTGTTTTGTCTGCATTTGTATGGTTGGGTGGTCGCGTGCTCATGTTTAATTTTGTTTGTGTTTGTTTGTATGCACTTGCTGGGCACGTGCGTGCGTGCTTGCTTGCGTGCGTGCGTGCGTGCGTGCGTTCGTGTGTGTGTGTGTGTGTGTGTCTGTGTCTGTGTGTGTGTCTGTGTCTGTGTCTGTGTCTGTGTCTGTGTGTGTGTCTGTGTGTGCGTGATTGTTTGTTTGTCTATTAGTGAGTTGCGTGTATGTGCTTTTGCGCTTGTATGCTGGTGTGCTCTTGTTTGTCCGTGTGTCTGCGTGTTGGCATGATGGCACGGCATGACTGTGCGTGCTTGCTTGTGTTGCACGCTTTCGGGTTTGTGTGTTTGCACGCGTGCTTTGGGATGTGTGATTGTGCATTCAAGTTTGCGTGGTTGCGAATCTTTGCGACTCTGTGTGATTGCTCGCTGATGTGTCTTATGTTCATTGCCGTTCGCTTCATGAGTGTGATGTGTCTGTGTTTGTGTTAGTGTGTATGTAGGTGTTTGTGTGTGTGTTTGTGTGATTGTGTGTGTGCCTGTGTGCAAAGTATTGACTTTGTTCGTAAGTGTGCGACTGAGTGTGATTTAGTCCATGTGCCATCACTCTCTCCCTCTCTCTGTCAGTGTAGTGTTTGTGTTGTGCTCGTGTTCTGTGTGTGTGTGTGTGTTTGTGTGCGTGCTTGTGTGTGTGCGCGCGCGTGTGTGTGTGTGTGTGTGTGTGTGTGTGTGTGTGTGTGTGTGTGTGTGTGTGTGTGTGTGTGTGTGTGTGTGTGTGTGTGTGTGTGTGTGTGTGTGTGTGTGTGTGTGTGTGTGTGTGTGTGTGTGTGTGTGTGTGTGTGTGTGTGTGTGTGTGTGTGTGTGTGTGTGTGTGTGTGTGTGTGTGTGTGTGTGTGTGTGTGTGTGTGTGTGTGTGTGTGTGTGTGTGTGTGTGTGTGTGTGTGTGTGTGTGTGTGTGTGTGTGTGTGTGTGTGTGTGTGCGTGTACGTGTGCGTGGGTGTACGCGTGAGCGCCGGCGTTCGTGTGTCTGCGTGTGCTTGTGCGTGCGTGTGCTTGTGCGTGCGTGTGCCTGTGCCTGTGCGTGCACGTGCCTCTGCACGTGCTTGTCTTTTTATGTGTTTGGGTGCTTGTGCTTGTTTTGCCTGTGTGTTTTTCTCTCCCTCTCTCTCCAGGCAATAGCAGTGTGTGGTGGTCAGTTTGCATGTTTGTGCGCTTGTCTGCATGTCTGTCTGTTTGTCTGTGTGTTGTTTCCATTTTGTGTGGGCGGGTGTGGCGGCCGTGCGCTCACAGGAGCATCTGATGTCGGCGTCAAAGCCCACGCGCTTTTTCTTGTCTTCGGGCGTAAGGCCAGAATGTTGACTACAACGCTGGCTGGCAGCGAAGGCGCTTGCGCTTTCCCAAGCTTTTGCTGGCATCACTGCCACGCTTGGGCCAGCTAGCTCCTTGTGAATGGTGAGACCCGGCTCCACACGCGACACACACCTAGGCGACTGCACCGACGTGCGCTAGGCCTCGAGGCCTGTGTCCCCAGCCACTCGAAAACGCCAGAGATCCGGGTGCAAAGTCCGCCTTGGGCGGACGCACGGGGTTGAAACTGTGAACGGGTTTTCGGGCCAAGGGGCTGCTTACCATGGGCTTCGGCCAACGGCGTGAGAACTTCAGAATCCGATGGCCCGATTCGCTGACTACGCTGAAACAAAAAGCCTCAGATATCATCCCCTGGCATGCAAGAGGCTTTCTCAAACGCGTCAGAAGCCCGTCCTGAAGCTCAGTTTGTGATCAGTTGGCGGTAGCCAGGCCATTCTGCGGGTGCTTCGAAATGATACCTTGCACGCGAATTCTCCGAGGAAAAAAAGGAATTGGCCGCGGACCTTTCCGCCTGGGGGCTAAAAGTCGCTGAGGCCTGGGCTTTTTCATGAATTCCAACAAAGCCTGAACTGGCCCGTCTTCTGGCTGGACAGGCTGAGAGTCGCTGCTCATGCAAAGCTCCTGCATGAGAAAGCTGACATCCAGGTCCCCAGTTCCAACAAAGGCTTACATGGTCAGGCACTGCACCAAAGGCTCTGTTTGAGGTTAACTTCGAAGGTTTTTGTCGGCCTCGCAGTAGTGACACGTAAGGAAGAGGTCTCGAGCCACTAGCCATTCCCCAGCTTCGTAGTTGCGGACGCCAACTGCAAAGCGGTCGAAGAACTCCTGCGACATGGGCTTATCATGCAGTCCCATTGCAACGAGTGCCGTTCATCTGTGAACTTGCCTTGGAGTACGGCTCGCGCATGACCACAAAGTCGGAATGTTTGGACAAGGTGTCCAACAAGTTGAAGTCTGAGGTCCACAACCTCAGAAAGAACCGCAGACATCCCTATACAAGCTGCATCAAATTGGATATTTAGTTTGTAGGTCAAGCTGCTCAGACTTCACCGCCTCCCTCATCTGCCTCACCTTGTAGCGGTTCTGCACCTGCCGCTTCGCGCCCTCGCTCTCAGCTTCGGCCCTTCGGCCCTTCGGCGTCGGCGCCTTCCGCTTCTGGCCGCGGAGCTTCGGCTTCACCGACACCCGGCGGTGGTCCAAGTCCAAGGTGTACAGCCGCAGGGTCTTCTTCGAGCCTCCGGCAGACGTTGCACCCAGATCCAGCCCACCCAGTCCACCCGGTCTTTGGGGATTTGTTACCCTCCTCAAGGACCAACATGGCAACCCGCGGAAAGCCGTGAAAGAAAGATCCTAGCCTTCCAGCATGACGTGGTCCACCATTCGAAGGTATGCTAATAGTCCAGTGCTGCCTAGGCCAACCGGGGAACAGCCCTCACTCTACACCTGGCACACCTAAGGATCCTCCCAAATGCTACTCAAGCTGCAAAGCCTCGCCATGTAATTGGTAAGCAGGATCCAAAGTCCTAGTTGTCCAGAAGCTGCTTCCAGCTGGGACGCTACGTTCACATTCGGTGACCTCAGCGCAAGTTTGCCAACAACGATCTATCTCTCTCACACCTATCCCCAGAGAGAGGGCTATCACTTCCGTCACCCATATAAAGAGGGGATTCCCTTGTATCACAGAAGTGGGGACAAACCCCCTTGATCCCACAACCCCCAGAGAAGACCCGTGCCATTGGAAGCGTCACAGGCCTCCCGCCAAGCTGCAGGTAGGAAGCATCGATCTTGTACTCGCTGCCTATGGCCCCTTCGATCGCCCAGCCGCAATGCAAGCCAAAGCCAAGAGTCACCTGGCGCAGAGCAAGGAATGACAACCCAATGCCAGCCACTTCGAAACTTGCGAACAAACCAACCAACCAACCAACCAACAAACAAACAAACAAAGAAACAGAAACCGCACAGCTGTTATCACCTCAAACCTCAAGAGATCTCAAAAGGGTAGCTGCACACAAACAAAAACACTCACATCGTGATTGGGGCTGGTGGTGCAAAATACGCAACAATGCCTGAAGTAGAATTGGAAGAAGGGAGCAGAGCCCGGGAACACAAAAGGAACACCAGGCACGCTCTAAAGGATGCACCCATCCTGGAGGTCACACAAAGCAGCCCCAGTCCGAAGGCACGGAGAACAAGCACAAGGTGACCATGACTGCGGCTTTTGCGTGGACAAGAGGCGAGGAAAACAGTGGAGACGAAGAAGAAAGCGCCAAGAAGAGCAAAGTGAAGAATTGCCAACAGGATAGCAAGATCAAGCATGGTTGACAAGGCGCACGGAGCAAAGAACAGAAGCGGGACGAGAGCGAAACGAAAACAGCAGCCAGAGTGGAGGAGAGGAGCCAGCGCGAGGAAAGTGCCGATGGCAAACAGGGATTCGAAGCCCTTCAAACACCCCCCCCAGACGTCTTGGGCTCTGCTTTTGTTCGTCCCTCAAGGCAGCTGTTCATTGCTTTCTGGTAGTCGGAATAAAGGACATCAACCTGAGCCGAAAGCTGCCAGGCCCCACACCCTGAACGCCTTAACCCTAGACATCCTAAACCCTAAATAAAAAGACCTTGTGACCGGCACGTATGTGTTGTGGGATGCATTATGTCAATCATATGCACTCTACACATTAGATACATCGTATAAAGCAAAGACATCTATATGCATGGTCTACAATATGTAAGTCGTATACATTAGATACATTACATTACACATGCATAAACTTTCTATGCAACATATACATTGTATGTGTAAAACTACATGCAGTGCATACATTACACGGATTATATTCTGCATACACTGGCATACACAGAGTGTTCCGACCTCTTGTTGCAGACAAGATGTACGTTGTATGCATTATATCCGCGTTGTATGCATTGTGTACAGTACATACAGTAGTGTATGTACAGCACATACATTGTATACAATATATGCTGTTATTGAATTACAACCATTATGAACATTGCATGCAACATAGGAGTTACGCATATTTTATACTTTGTTTGCAATTTACACCTTGTACATTCTTCTTGCACCATATTGCATTTCATTGCAATACATGACGTTACATTGTATTGCATGACATTACACTTCTACATTGTATGCACACATGCATGCATGCATGCATGCATGCATGCATGCATGCACACATACAACCATAGATGCAGGCACGCGAGGCCGCATGCACGCAGGCATGCACGCACGCGAGATATCACAGCGCACAATGTTACATTGCTCTAAGCTGCATCATGTCACGTCACGCTGCGTTTTGTTGCCTTTTCTGCTTGCATGATATGGACGCATTTTTAAACAACAGCCGGCTGCATTCAGCATGTGTCCCAGGCACATAGCACATGTAACTATCATAATGCGGCTTTGTGTGTGTGTGTGTGCGGCCCTGGCATGTGCGAATATGTGTTGCCATGTACGCATGCTGCTATGAACCTGTGTGCCATTCCTGCCGGTGTGCCTGCTGGTTGCTCGCATCCCCCGTATCTCCAAGAAAATGGTCACCACTACAAAACACACCGAAGCAACAAGTTGGGCCGTTTTCGATGGCCACATCTGTGCAATCTCAAAGTTGGTCGAATCTCTCATGCGACGGGAAATCGCTGCCCCGCCCGAAAGTCGGGAAATCGCTGCTGCAATCCCGGATGTGATCGATAAACTGCCAGCGTGTTGGACTTCTGCACTTCGATGGTGATGCATACCTTACGTGGCTAAGCTTGAGACCCACTTCAGTCTAGAGCATGCGAGTCGAAGCTTAAAACATCCTAAAACCGTGTGGATCCACATGGCCCTGTTCAGCTTTGGAACTCAAGCACGCGCGAAGCGAGCCTCTGAAGAAAAAAAAGAGCGACCGCAAATTGCCGGCAGGCTGCGAAGGACATCAGTGCCATGTCAGCCATCTTGGTCCTCACCTCTGGGTCTTTCCCCCGCATGCGCCATACCTCGGCCGCCAGGCAGCACTGAAGGAGAAGCCATAAGACAGAGACACCAAGTCAAACCCTTGGCGGGGAGGCTGGTGAGGATGTGCCGAGTTGCAACCAGAAATGAGTTGCCGCCAATGATCTTGTTGGGTGAGCCATGGTAGGTGTCACAAATACCTCACGCTCCGTGAATACTTGCGATGTGATCGGCCGCTTGCACTGATCGGCCGGATGTCTCGGACGCTAAATGGGCTAAGACAGCCGCCATGCACAATTTCACTCACCTGGTTCACGAAGACCATCACCTGGTCAGGGTGTAGAGTCTGGAAAGAGGGGGGGAAGGGTCAGAAAATTCGGCCCTCGCCTTCTCCTTCAGGACTTCGGTGGCGTCTCCAAAGTTGCGGATGCTGCAGAACCCGAAGACCGCTTCGACTTCTTGGCCTACGAAACTCCGTTTGCAACGATCAAATTCGCCTTCCGGTCGCTCAAACGCTACAACATCCACTGGGTTCCACCCAGGACATTGCGACCTGCGTCGGGCCGGCCTGGAACCATGGCGTTCCTCAGCTCCGTTTTCTGCACATCGAAACCGCTCGGTTGCGTCCGAGTCGATTCGAGTCGAATCGAGCTTTAAGCCCAGCAGCAGCTCCGCGGAGGTGCCGCCCTGCATGTTGTGCACAATGATCTCGGCGCCCGCCTCGAGATCACGCACGACGAACCCCAAAAAGGGAACTCGAAACCCCTAAAAATCTGAACGCGGACCTCGCCAAAGCCCAGGGCAAGGAGGCCTCCGAGCTTGATCAAAGTCCTCACCAGATGAACAGAAATGGACCCAACAGAAATCAGCCGAAAGGCCAAAGAGTTCGGCTTGAGTCACTTTTCCGAAACGGACGGGCAGCCGGTCCTTTCCAAGATGGCCGTCTCCAAGGTTTCCAACGCACTTGCCTCCCTCTTGCAGCAACTGCGCCTCAGCCCGGCAAACGGTTCGGTGTACCAAACCGTCTTGGAAGCTGTCCATGTGCGAAGCAAGCGTGCCACGGTCTGTACATTTCTTTCAAAAAATGGCAAGCACTCCACATCCTAATCAGTGTGTATTGCCAAGCGTCCTCTCTCCTTCGTCTTCTTCTTGTTCTTGTTCCCTGCTCATTGCCAGTGGCTCCCGCATGGGGCATGTTGCAAGTGATGCTGATCCTACTACCGAAACTGCAACACTGCAACAGGATTCGCATCCCATGAATCTGTGAAAAACAACACTGTGCATCAGGTTGCCCAGTGCTCAAATTCCACGCCAGAAAGTGGAGGCTTCAAACGTTGCAGCAAGCAAGTCGGCCAGCCTGTACTCAATGTCACCAAGCTTCATGGCGTGCAAAGGGTTCTTTCTGATGGCCTGGCCGCGTTCGCAGAAAATGCCATCACAAGCCAAATGCCATGGCCCCCAAATGACCAGTTGTCAGGCTGTGAGCTCCTCACCCGGAAACCCGTGCCTCCAGTTTCACGAGGATGCGCTCCAATGGGCCCAACAAAAACCGGTTGGCGTCTTTGGCGAAGGAGAGTGCCCCCACGGCCAAGGCCGCGCAAATGAAGAAGGTCTGCAACCTGAAGGCTGCTCGCTTTTTTGTGTTCCAGAGTTGTGTCCAGTTCGCTGAGTTTCTTGGAAGGAGTTGCCCCGAGGCTCAGGCATGCTGAGACCGGCTGCTGCTTGAACCAGAGGCCGGGTGTCGAAGACAAAAAGCATATTGACCTGCGATGTCTGTTGCGACTTCGGCCAGACCTCATCAAACAGAAGAAGGCATTCAGTGCAGTTCGAGGCTCGTTGCTTGCTTCCACTGCGGTGGTCAGCATCGGTATCTCATAGTGGACCTCCAAGGTGCAAGGTGCAGTTTTGCCTTGAGTCCCACGCATCGCTCGCACCGCGCCTCGTTGCAGCGCAGCTGGTCTGTGACCGAACAGGCCACGGACAGTCCGTGAGTATCGCCTAGGCAACTGGCGATACTCGGGCTGGCACATGTAGTGAGGACCGCCCATTCGCTTGTGGCAAGGAGTAACTCTTTGCGCAAGTCGCTCAACACGAACAACTTGCCGGGCTGGTCTCAAAATGGAGCGTTGGCCAATCCGACTTTCCGTTAATACGCCCCAGTGTACAACCACTAAGGGACAGGTTCCTGTCGTGAAGGTCAGGATCTTGCGGCTTGCCTTTCAGCCCACCCGCGGCATGTCTATTCATAGAAGGCGCTGTCCAGGGACAGCGGGACCCCCACAAAGCCCATGCACTGCTCCCTCCAGGGTTCTGCCAGCCTCCGCTTCACCTGGCGAACGGCAGCTCCAAGCGAGGGCAAAAGTCAACCTAGGCCTCGCAACCCGAACGCTGCGCCAAGGGAAAAACCGTGAAGTGCCGAGAAATTCCGAGGTGGCAGGTGCCTCTGCTGGGATGGGCTCTGGACCAGCGTACTGACGGTCCCATTTCCACAGCTCGTCCTCTGAATGCACTTAATTTCCACAGACACGCACAAACAGAGAGAAAAGAAATAAAATAAATAAAGACGGGAAACTAAGTTGAACATCAGGTGAAAACCTCACTGTCGTGAACGTGTCGAATGCTCTGAACAGCCACGAGCGTTGAGGAGCTCGGAACTCTCAGCGCTCCTTGGGCAAAGTGGCACCAAGCCACCGAGCTTGATTGAGCTGCGCCAAGGTACCCAGGAACTCCTAGGCAGCGCGTCCACGCGGCCGTGGGTCAACACCCATGGGATACCATTTTGGGGGATTGGTGAATTACCCATTTTAGAACCTATGTTAGTGGTTGGATTGGTTGATGTTCACGGGTACGCCACGGGGTCGCTGGCTGACTCCAAGGCACTTCTGAGCTATCGTTGTACCGGACCATGTTGTCAGACCCAAGGCCAACCCAATACAGGCCTCAGCTCGGCGCGTCGGCGCGCTGGCTCGATGCGAAACACAAAGAATTCTCAGGTTGCGACGCCATGAAAACGGTCCACCTAAGATGCAAGTTGCTGACACCTCGCAAAACGTCGCTGCTTCAGCCCAGTGTTCAGCAGAGTGTCTTAAGTGACTGCGGATAAATGTCAGCATGTACTGCTCGTACCACGCCCTCCTTAGTCGGGGAGAATTCGGCAGTGCCGTGTCGGAGACACATCCAGCGCCAAGCGTCTCTTCCCGCCTTTCGGCACTCTCGGGCGAGACTGCGCGAAGGCACCAGGGAAAGCCCTGGGCCATCGAAACGTTGCAGCTTGCGGCTTGAGAGACCGATGAGCTTTGAGAGACAAAGTCGCAAGCTACAAACATGCGCAATGCGCAAACATGCAAGAGAGGCAGCGTCAGAAGTAGAGCACCACGATCGAAACCGCCTAGAGAGGCCGCGTGCACGCGGTCTATCTCAAAGGGCAGGCCACCGAACACAAAACCAAAGCCAGGGCACTCGTAAACCAGACCTGCCCCCAACTCTCCAGAAAGCATAAACTCATTGCCCCAGCTCTCCGCAGTGAAGAAGAAGGAGCCTAGGCTGCGGCTTGCGCCCCATGCGTTGCCGTGGCTTGGGAGGCTTGAAAGGCTCTTCACGCCACCGGCTTGGGCCCCGCCTCACGGGTAAGGCCAGCGTGGCGCCGGCCCCCGGTTTTTCCGTTTTTGCGGACGCGTGACAGAAAAGCATCACCAACACAAGGACGATGACCCGGCGGGAGGTCATGTCGGAGAGCTTCTTGCCAACTCCTTACACCATCCACTGACTCACCGCGGGGGGACCGAATGGAACAGATTTGACGCCAAGCATCGTGTGCCCGTTTCTTCCTGTGCCTTGTCATCTTTTCCAGGGTCGCTGTTGAGATCCCAATCCTTTGGTCAGTGTCAACATGAATGTCTACTTCGACCAGCACAAGCAATGAATTGTGAAAGGTGCACACAGTAGACCACTACGGACACGCATTCTACCATGGCCACGGGGCAAAATCCAAATCGATCCCAGTGGTTTTTGACCCACAGCCACATGTGCAGCTGGCTCGCCTGTGGTGAATCACATGCCAGTGGACTTCCTGGAGACGCTGGTATAGCAGACATGGGCTCCGCCCGCGGGTCTGCACTGCGCTGATAGAACTTGTAAAGCCTGGACTTCTCGCGCAGGCGCGCGGAGAAAAAAGGAAGCCGTCGCCACACACTCCCGGAAAAAGAACCCCCCCCAAAAAAAAGGAAAAACGAAAACACCAAAAAAACACATGTCAGGCTTTTTTTCTGCCGGGGCAGCTTGCCAAGGCGAACCAGACGCAGGATCCGCACCGTGCGGCTGGCCCGCGTGTCTGTGAGACTCGCCAGGAGGCCCTCGAAGCTGGTCTGGGCCACGGGGCGACCTGCAAAACGCGCCAGCGAGGGCGAGCGCTCGCCAGAAGCATTTGGCAGCCAAACCGCCATGGGACTGCAGGTTTTGGCTTCCTTGTTTCCAGTTACCAGGGTGCCATTTGGGGCATCTATTTTTGACCCACACCGGGTCAAGATTAAACCACCAGGATATGGACCGCAGGTTAGAGGTCCTTGGTGCTTTTTGCCCGGGTCCCACACGCCATTTGGGGTATTTTTGGGCGCCTCGTTTTGACAACAGCCATTGGAGCCAGGGCACTGAGATCCGCGTGATCCTTGCAGTAGAGCGTCTCCCCGAACCAGGTGAGATCCAGCAACATGGTGGCAGTCGCTATGAAGTCCTGGCAGTCGCTATGGTTTCTGTTTTTTGTTTTTTTCAGGCCAAGCCATGGCGCACCAAACACGCACGGTCCAGGTAGAAGAAGAAGCTGTTGAAGTAGCCGCGGATGCCCAGAGAGGCGGCGACAATCTCCACCGCAAAGACGATGAAGGCCATGACGATGAGAACATTGAAGAAGTTGTCCGCCTCTTTGCCTCAAATGGTTGATGCCTCTGTCGCTGACCCACAAATCAATCGTTGATGCCTCTGTCTCCCTCTGCCTCTGCCTCCTGCCTCTGCTGACCCTACCAAAATCCAAGGGTCTGGTGAGCAAAAGCCGCGCGTCGTCGCCGAGCAGGGCCGACACAGTCAAGATCGTGGTGAGAGTTTGGAAGCGCCAGTCTCGGCAAAGAGTTCGGCATAACCACCTTGGCTACGTGCAGGTTTCCATGCCACGTGTCAATTGGCAGCTAAAGTGGACTGAAGCGGCTGAAGCCAATTGCCGCGTCAGCTAGCCGGGGCTGAAAGGCCCATTCTCGTCAAGCTTCAAAATGAGTGGTTGTGAACATGCATATGTTGCCTTTCTACTCATCATGGGCGGCCAAAAGGCAAGATGTCAATTCCAGTTTGGCCTGTGGGAAACAAAAGGCCTCATTGCCTGACGCACCAGAGAATGCAAGAGCGGTGTTCAACCAGAGAGGGCACAAATCTATCTCATTCAGGAAAGTCTCCGAACATCGTATTCCCAGCCATTCAGTGGACCCAGCTCTGATGACAGCACCATGTCCAGCTCTCTCGAATCGTCGCTGTTGCCTCTGACGCCTGTGCCCGGAATCCCGAAAATTCGACCAGGCGAGTCCGATCCATGCGAGTGCCATGCCTGACTGGCCCAACGTCAAACCCGGCGGCTTGTCCTCGAAAGCGTGGCCGCGCGATCGGGGAGACATGGACATGTGACCTCCAGCCGTCCCGGTCCTTCATCAGTGGCGGCCTCCAGCCAAAAAAAACACACACACACACACACACACACAGCGAGCGCACGCGCAAACACTCGCCGCAATTCGCGCAATTCGCCTTGCGGTCCCCCAAACGTTGGAATCCACTTTATCCATTCTGGGCGACTTCGGCGATGATGGGGAATTCGGCGGTGCCTGCACATGACGGCTTCAGATTTTGCGCATCTCAGGCGCGCGCTGCCTGTGTCTGAGAAGTCTCCTGCCGACTATTGCGGCTGTCCTCAGTGGCCTGCGCTCCCGTCCTGACCATGGAGTCACCGAACTTCAGGTGGCTCAGATCTGTGCTTCTTTGGCCAGCGCGCCTGTGGACAAGGGCATGTTCGGAAGGAGAAAGCTCACTTTCCAGCAGCCTCGCGAAAAAAAGAAGAGAAAAACGCCGGAGGGCCCTCGCTGGCTCAAAGAATGCTGGCCTGGGCGTGGAGTGCGCCTGCCAGCTTCACGGGAAACAGGCCATACCAAAGACATTCGGTCTGGCAAGCTGCAACGATGTGTGTTTCAATATTGGGGACCCCGATGTCCTTTCGGCTTCCTGAAGTAAAACCATCCAAAACGGGGTCTGACATGTTGAGACACGGCCGGCTTGCAGTGCGCGCCCATTTTCTTCCGGCTCAGGCTGACATACACAGTGCTTCGGCACCGTGAACATGGGATCTCCGAAGACCGCGACGGTGCAGCTGACGTCGCCGCGCACGTCCTTCGAGCTGTACTTGCGCTTCAGCAGGTCCTTCAGCTCCGCCCGCTTGCTATTCTCGTCATAGCGCCGGCCGTAGAAGACCTCAGGACACGAATTTGAACTAGGGAGCCTTGGGTGGACTTCAAATTTAGCTGGGGTTTTATGTCCAAGCACTTTGTCAGGACCCTCAGGAGGTTCCCCATGAAAACTCATCGCCATATCGGTCCACATGGCCAAGCCAAAATCTGGCATCAAATCGCTTCGGCTTTGGCTAAGCCCCGAACCTTCCCGTGACAGTGGCAGGTGTCACCGTCATTGGCACAGATGAAGCCAGGCCCATCTTGCAGCGGGTCTCTGGGAATCTCTGTGAAGTTCCCGATGCTTTTGCCTCAGCCAAATTTGTCTTATAATAAGTTTTCTGTCTGCCCGAATGCTGCATTGCAACGCTGAGCCTCACGCGGTACAAGAAGCCAATGAAAGTGGAAGGGTCGAAGAGCGCTGGCCCGTCATAAGTGGCACCAAAGCCTTGAGAAGCAAAGAGGTGATACATGATGCGGTCCAGGGGGTTCTTCACCTCCGCGCTGAACGTCGATCGTTCGTCCCCGTCGATCGACGGAAAACTCGCGTCCGGCTGCGAACTTCCAAGCCCCGGGCTCCCATCTTCCGAAAGGCCAGCACCTTGGATGCCGAAAGGCGCGAATGGAAGGACGGCGCCAAGTCAGAGGCTGCTTTCGGATGTGTTTTTCTCGGGAAAAAGAAGAAGGAAAAAAAAACACCTCCCGAATCAAACATGCCAAAGATTGGCCTCCCGGGGCTTTCTTGGGGTTCCATGCTCCTTCCATGCTCCTCCTCCTTCCCTCGACGGAAAACCCGCAAGGCGCCGCGCTCTCCAACTGCGGTGAGCGCTCCAGCACTTGGGAGAAGCTGCTCGGAACGAAGCTGTCGGGGCCTCAGTCTTGCGAGCTCGGACTCAGACTCAGGCCATGGGTCAAAAACAAAAATTGCGTATTCCCAGTGAACATCAACCAATCCAACCACTAAAGTAGGTTCTAAAATGGGTGGTGAATTCACCAATCCCCCAAAATGGGATCCAATTGGTTTGACCCAGAGCCAGGTGCCAATCAGATTTTCCATCCCGATTGTCGAACCACACAGGGAACTGTCCCACTGCAAAGGGGACCGGTTCCTTTCGTAGCCCGAAAGGATCTGGAGGATTGATACGCAGCCGCCGGTGCCCTGAGCCCCTGAGCCCCTGAGGCCCCCCTGCCTTCGAAGCAATAGATCTTGATTGCCGCACCGTTCAACAGCAAGTTCCGCAGCCTCCGTGACTCAAGACTCTTGGGTCTTGCCTGGCCCTCAAAGGATGGCCACGAAAGAAGCCAAGTGGCTTAATCAAACCAGAGGGTATCGGGCCCTCCGCAGGTTCCTTCCCCGGCGGCTTGGTTTTTGCATGACGTTGAAGCATATGCAACCCGAGCCGAGTGCCTCCCAGACAAGGCGGAAACAGCGGTCGGTAGCATTGCGAAGTGGATTTGCTTCGAAGCTTGCAGGTAGCCATGGTCCATCCTTTACCGGTCTTGAGGTGCTTCTACCGAAGCTTGCTCCAATCCAAGTCGCTAGGGGCCCGTTCGCAGACTTAACCAAGCGCCCCTGCGCCTCTCTTGGCCAAGGGGCACTGGGTGCGCGATGTTCTCCCCAATGCCGGCCCATGGAATATGGCACTGCCGGCTCAGATCATCCGGGCAGCACACCTGGCAAGTCACTCCCCCGCGTCCGGCCCGCCGCCCCGCCGCGCTCCGGACGTCGAACATCGAAAGGCCCGGCCGCCCCGGCCTTCCGCTCGTTGGCTTTCGCCTGGTCATCGCAATGATTCACCATGGCCTTGAACGGAAAGTGCGATCGGTGAACTCCTCGGCTTCTTGCAGCTGGGCGGCGTGTTTCTGAGCCGTCCAAACGGCTTGGTAGACGGCGCTGCCCTTGCGGCCGGCCAAGAAATTGGAGCCTGAGCACATGCAAGCGCATGCCCACGGAAAGTCAAGAGCTCAAAGTCAAAGTGTTTATTCTTGCGAGCAGCTGAAAGTTCCTCGTTGGCAGGCTTGCCCATAAACGGCGTAGGAAATGAGGTCGTGAGAATCGATTCGGTCCAGAATGGGGGCAAGATCTTGCGCGACAAGAAAGTCCGTGTCCAGGTAGACACCGCCATGGTGGTAGAGCAGGGCGTACCTGTGCCGCATAACCCATCCTGTCATGCGTGAGCTCTGTGGACAAATGTCTTCCCGCACCTCACTATGTCGGACTTTGCGGCATCATAGGGCATACGGTCATACTCTGCTGGCAGGTCTGGGATGAAATCCTTGGCTCAGGACGTCTCGTTGGCCTTAAATTGGCTTCAAAGCCTTCCGCCCTTCCGCCAACGGGGGCCCAGGTGACGGCCGTTTTCTCCGAGGAGCACGGATGTTGGTCTCATTGATCAGCCAGAAGCGGCAGCGGCCATAAGAATAGTGCGCCCATGACTCGAAGTTCTTCTGAATAAACCTCGAATCGAATCGACGACCGACTCGATGCCATGCAAATGGCTCGAAGCAAGGAACAGAGGCACTCCATCCGGATAGTTCCACATGGCGAAGACATTGCAATGCGGCTGCTCGCTTGAGCTTGCCTGCATCTGGACAGGACAGAACCCGTGCCGGTCCTCTCAACCGTGCGCCTTGGGCATCCCATCCGCATCAGGGCGACCTTTGTGCAGGTCTTGGCCAGCGACAGTAGCGGCCTTCCATCACGACATCAGGACCCGTGCCCCTCAGTCGTGGCCGCCCGCCTTTGGCAAGACATCAGCTCGGTCAGGATCTTTCTGCTCCTGGCCGGCGTGGCCATCGGGGACACGGCCTGCCTAGGGCTGGAGCTGCTGACAAGCGGCGCTGGCGGCTTCCGGAGCACGGTGCTGCAACTGCTCCACGGCAAGCCTCGCATGAAAACCATGCATCCCTAATGGCAGCTACCTATACCTTTGTGATTCAACTCCGCCTTAAGGCCGCGATGTCTCCTCTAAGAGCTGCAACCTCCTGAGTTGAGGCTCGGCGCGGCAGAAGCAAAGCTGGCGGATCAACGAAGCCAAGCGTCCTTGCTTTCTGTCTCGAGCTGCTGGATTCTTGCCCTCAGGTCTTCCACGGCCTCGTTTGCGCCTCGGACTTCCGCCTTCCAACAGCAAGCAACCACCATGAAAATGTTCAAACGATTTCTCTTCACCTCTGTGGGTGTGGGGTCAACAATAGGTACCCGACATGGCTTGCCCTCTCAAATGGGAAACAAAAAGCACTGAAACCCTGCGGTCCAAAATCCCGGTGGTTAAACTCTTCAACATTCCCCCAAAACACATGTGTGCTTGTCCTCACGTTTGTGACCCATAGGCCCATTCCTATCTCGCCTCTCTCTGCTTCTCGGCTTCTCGGCTGAGGGCAGGGCCGCCGGTGCTCCAGCGCTCCGCCGCGCTGAAGTTCTGCCAGAGCAGCAGCAGCGCCAGCAGCGCCAGCGCCGCCGGCAGCAGCGGCCATCGGCAGCGCATGCCGCGCAGGCCGCACAGGCCATGGCTTGCCCGGCTGATGGCTCTCGAGAACTCGAGCACTTGGCTGGGTGTGTCTTTTTTGGCTCAACTTCTTGGCAGCTCTTGAAAGAAAAAGGAGAAGACCTGTCAAAGTAGTTGATGTGAAAGCCTGAGCGAAACTTGATATCAGCCTCTTGCTGCGAGCCAACCGAGGGCAGGCCAATGCCAGCCAGAGACCACGGCAAAAGCCAACTTTGAATAGAGCAGGCAGCCTCCTGGCTCTGGCTGGCGTTGTGCAACTCCTCCGCAGGAAGTGGGACCTGCATGCGCAGTCAGGGGATTTGGCTTGGTCGATTTCTCGTATCGCACGTCAGGCATCTTGGACCAAGCTGTCACTAGCGCCTGACCAGGCACCGACATATCGATGCCATGCCTGGAGCAACGGCAAGTGGTCAGGCGCAAAGCCGCCGAAGCCCCGCCCGCCTCTCCGTGGATTTCATCAGGCCAGCGGCCCGAAGCAAGGCGCAGCCATCCACGTCCGTCCTCATGCGCCAAGTCCGTCAGCCGACGAATAAACGGCGCACTGGGCCGCCGCACACTGGTCGGCCATAGGCTTGGTGTCAATCACTTAAAGCACTCCGCCCCAAATGGTTTGACTGTGGCTTGATGACATGTCACACCTCTTCAACTAATGCATTTGCTCTCTCCTTGACGCATTCACGCTTTCAGCTGAGCCGAAAATGCACTCGAGTCACGCAGTCCGCCGCCAAAAGCGCAAACGCAACGCAAGTGCAGCCCTTGGCCGGACTCATTCATTCATCAGTTTGAGTCCGCATGCGCCAAAAGCTGGGAGACTTGCTCGACTGGGCCCTCGTCCTTCTGAGGTGCCTGCCACAAACTCGCACGGAATGGCCAGTCAGCGGCGCAAAGGTCTGCCTCGTGAACTGCCTGCGCATGCGTGGCTGGGGACAGCGGAGTCGCAACCTCAGGGCCAAGGTCAATGCGTAGTCACAGCTTTGGCCGGCTGTTTGCGCCTCTGGAACAGCAGACCAGTCCTGGGAGTACCTTCCAAGCGAACAAGGTACATGGCACCGCAGATCGTGCGGGGACATGTCATAGATGCTGTAAGCCGAAGCTGTAGACAAGCGGTACCTTAGCAGCCAGCCATGCCGCGCTTGGAAGTACCCGCGCTTGGAGACGCTAGGCTGCAGGCTGCCGAGGCATGGTGAAGGCAAGGTCGCTACGGGGCCAGCCAGACTAAATGAGCCGATGGCCGCGGGACCAAGTGAAACACACTCCACTCTCGTGAATTACAGACAGACTGAATTGGGCAGAGCCAAGCACTCAAGAGACAGGTGGCTGCTTTTGGTCCAAAGAGTGGGGTATATCCGGCTTGAGGCGCAGCCAGGCGACTTGAAGAGCTAGGTCCTCGAGAAATAAGAGTTGCACGAAGGAACCGTCGTTTCTAGCAACTAGAAACTCGGCAAGGTGCCCGTAGGGTCCCGGCCTGGCAAGCGGCTATTCATAGCTTCTCTTTGTCGCAGCGTCTCATTTGACCTCGAGGTCATGGCGAAGCCTGCCGTGTCCGATAAAAGAAAGCAGGGCAGAAGAACAAAGGCCTCCGGGCATCAAGAGACGCCGGTGCTCTTGCGGCTCAAGAACCTTTAAAAGGCATCATGCGCGATGTGGATCGCATGACATCGCCTCATCTCTGTCCACGTCCAGCGTCTGCTCAGGCACCTCAGGCACATCAGTCAGCTTTGTGGCAGGAGAATTTCAAAAGTCCAGCCTCCACAGTTTTGTCCAAGGAGGCCAAAATAGTAGCCAGGGTTTCCACCTTCCAAGGGCACCAGCCAGTCAAACAATGCCTGGGTGTGGGTGGGAGTGTTTGGCAGGCTTGTTATGTGTATGTGTGTGTGTGTGTGCTCCTGTGCCTGTATGCTTGTTTGCTTGTGAACGTTGTTTGTGCTGTTTGTGGGGGTATGTGCCTGCGCGTTTGCATCTTTGGATGTTTGTGTGCGTTTGTTGCGCGTCGACGCCTAGATTGAATGGTTGTCTGTGTGTCTGCGCGCCTGAACATGTGTAAAGTGAGGCTGTCTGTGCAAGTGCACGGGCGCGCGCGTGTGTGTGTGTGTGTGTGTGCGTGTGCGTGTGCGTGTGCGTGTGCGTGTGCGTGTGCGTGTGCGTGTGCGTGTGCGTGTGCGTGTGGGCGTGTGGGCGTGTGGGCGTGTGGGCGTGTGGGCGTGTGGGCGTGTGCGTGTGTGCGTGTGCGTGTGCGTGTGTGTGTGTGTGTGT